CCCATCTATGGCCTGCTATTTGGCTCTCACTGCTGGCATTCTAATATTTTTATTGATAAATCTGCCAGCAGCAGCAAAAAATAAATATGTACATCCAAATGAAATATTTAACAGTGTTTGTAAAACCTCAAATACAAAGGAATCCTGTGTTTTGGTTTTATATCACGTCCATTCATGTGGATCAGACTGCACAGTACTCACATGTCTAAAACTAAGATAATCCGTACTACATATAGAAATACATTTTAATTAYAGGGCAGTAAACACTGTGTCATTTTTTGCTGTATGCATTTTTTTTTTTATCAGCAGACAAAAGCTGACATTTGTTTTACTGATAGCCCTGTATTCCCCTACCACTTCCACCACGGCAGCATTTCACTCGCCCAAGGAAATTGAAAGGATCAGAGCACATCTGATGTTCCATTAATTTAAAACGTCTGCCAGGACTTGCATATTGTAGCAGCTTTAAAGTGATTGAATTTGGATTATTTCAAACTCTGAAAAGTCCTGCCTTGCCTGACTGAGGCATTATCAAGTGACAAAATAAAATATGATCCTGGTATAAGAATATCTGCAAGTACATACGTTCTCTTCCTTGTTTACACAGCCTTGCAGCAGGCAGATTAGGAGCAATGGGAAGGACAGCCTTATTTATTTTTCTTTTCCCTTTATGTTTTTGGTAGCAGGCCCCTTTTTTTAAAGCTTTAGCCCAGCTAAGTGGAGACACCTGGTGTTTGTCGCTGCAAATTCACTAGCAAGGCCGGGGGGAGAGCGGGGCCGGGGCAGTGTCCAGTGGGTGCCGGACACGCGGCCGCCTCACCTCCCCTTGCTGGGGGCTGCCGCAGGCCCAGGCTGCCTCTGCTCTTCCCCATGCAAATATAAAGGCAGCTCAACTGCAGGAGTGCTTTTACACAGCAGGCAACCAGTGTGTATTGGAAGGGGAAAAAGCTTCACCCTGTCAGGTGCTAAATTAAAGTGCTAAGTTTTGGGTAATAACTGTTTTGTAATGCTTAATAAGTAGCTTGTGTAACATAGTTCCAAAAGGAGAAAAAGTTTACACATGGCCAAAGAAATATTAAAGTTTCACTACAAAAGAAATACTGTGGCTGCCAAGACCTGATTAGTCATAAAATCCACAGCATTATCACCATCCATCACTGCCTTTCTTTTAATGACCAAACTAAGAAGAGAGACATCAAAGTTTTGTTGTTGTTGTTTTTAGAGAATAAGGTTCCCTAAATACAATAGGGAACAAATATAAGATCCCAACATATTTTGATAGAACCCTGACCCAAAAAAAAAAAAAAAAAAAGAAAAGAAAAATCATTTGAATGAATCACAAAACATATGTTATGTTTTGCTCTAAAAGCCATGAAGTTTATGCAGTGCTCTATTATGGTGACTGCTTGGCTTTTCATGCATTCCTAAATTACCATGTAATCTAAAACCTTGTTTTCAGCTGCTCTATATTGGAAAGTCCCTTGCAATAATCAGGATGATTACAAGCTAGTGCAGAGAACAAAACTTGTTTGGATTATTGCAAATAAAAGTGTAATTTCTCAAAAATTTTACCTTTGCAAGGGATAAATTAAAAAAATAATAATCAGAATTATAAACTTTTTTTCCTTCCCTTGCTTGCTTGCTGGAAATCTTTTAAACATGGAATTAATTTTGGCCACTCTACAACTTAAAAACACATGGATAGTTGGTGTAAAAATATGTTTCTTTCCTGTAGGGACTTGACTCTAATTGGTGTGCCAAAACTATCTCACAGAGATTTCATTGTCTTATCTACTTACATCATCTTAATGCGATTTTATTTTACTTTGTCAAAGTCATATTAATGTAAATGTGTTCTTGATAGCAAACAGAGTTCTTTTTTATGCTAAATAGGATTCAGCTGACTCTAATAAAACAGCTTGCAATCCATTAGGCTATAACTGTAATATAGTTATTTTGTTTCCCAAATAAAGACTGTGTCAGAAAGCTGTATAAGGATTTTTGTCTTGTTTTTCCACAATAATTGCTTGGGTGGGGTTACATTCTGATCTTTAAATGAATAGTATCGCTTGGAACAAACACTTCATATATCTTTTATCTTCCCCTTGCAATACAGTTCTGAGTTTTCTTTGAAAATGCAAAGCTACTTTTCCAGATAAGTCATCAAAATGTTTCCAAAGTATTTTAACTGCCAGATTAACTATATCTTGAATACAAAGATAGATGGCTTACATTCTTTATGCAGAAATCCTGCCAATGCATAGCAACTAGCAACAAATTAATTTCTTTTGCAACAGTGGAAAAAAAAAACTGTTTTGCTATGCAAAGCTCAAAAGGTAAATAGATATTTAAAAAGAAAAGAAGGTTACTCATTCTGAAAGGGTAATCTGTACGCAGAGAACAGAGGATTAAACATACACTTGCTCTCTTTACAGAATCAGTGTCCTAGCTTTCTCTTAATGTATTCAGCTAATTAAAGATTGCAGTGACCTTGTGGCAGATTTTGAAATCTAGGAATTCCTTTTTTTTTTTTTTTAAAGCTGCCTTCCTCACAGAGCTTAATACAATCTGTTTCAGGTCAAAGTCTGTTTATGTCAGCAATGTTCATACTACACAAGTAAAATGTTTTAAAGCATTTATCAACTGGAAAATATTGCAAACATTTCATTTCCTTTGATACAGACACAAAAAACCCTCTGCCTTCATTGCAAATTCTTGTTCATATGAATCACTCTGAGTAATATTTGCTTTAACTTTCGTGTGGTTCTACAAACAGCCTTTATATGGCTGGACTTCAAAGCTGGTAGAAATAAAGGTTAGAAATGTGATAGGAGTAATCTATTATTAGGCATGAAACATTAAACCACTTTTAGTTATAAGCCTTAAAACCTGAATAATCTGGGTTTTTAACTTGCTGCATATTTATTGTGTTTTCAGTTATTTAAGTCATTTAGCATGGAGGGACTGTTTTGAACAGAAATATTTTCCATAGGAATACGAACCACAATTGGGTTTAATTTTTCCTAATATTTAATTTAGAAAAACTGCAATATTATAACWGGCTTCTCATATGTCAAAGTTGAAATACTCTGCTTGGTGTTTCTTGCGGTATAAAATTAATCTCTTACCAGGCTGCTGACCCGAAAGGCAGGTTTGAGTGAAACATGCATGGGGTAAAGGAAGGAGGGGGTGGGGAAAGCCGATAAAATCTCGTTCTTCAAATATCAGGGAAGGGAAGGAAAAAAAAAAAAAAAAAAAAGGAGAAGAATGTCACAACCCTCCATTGACACCAAATGACAAAAAATGACCCAAATGTGTGTGAGTGGGGGAAGTTTCTTTGGCAAAAAAAAAATGGATGAGGTTCCTCTGGAGCTGCCTACATGGCAGGAATGTTAATTGTTAAAATCTGCAATGTGGCAGTTGTTGCAGGCGAGCGCGTTGTCGCTGTGCGCGCCTGTGTTTGCCTCTTCCCTCCCCCTTGTATATTTACAGTGAAAGGAATGTACTAATGTTCCGAACGGAGTCAGATGGCGCGAGCAGATCTTTATACAATTAGGGAACTTTAAACTGCTAAACTGATAGCAASGGGTAGGAACAAAACTTTGCATTGGTAACATTTTGTTCTTGATTAAGTTTGTGTACTAATACAGTAGATTAAAAATAAGTCCAACAGTTAAAAATACATAACAGCTCAAGCCAAACAGGTCAGCCAGAAATAAACTATCATTTGAAATCCAGAATTTTAAATCCTCGTGAGCCTGGGAAAACCACAGGGATACAGCCTGGGCCCGATCCTGGTCGCACTGGTGCCAGCGGGAATTTTACCGTTGGTAAAATGAGGAGCGTGAATTTTTTTGTTTCCTGTTGATTTTAAGCCCTTAAAGAAAGCATTTTGTTTCCTCAGGTCCTGTTGTGCTGAGTTACTATGGCTGCCACGCGGGTGACAGGAGACTTTGGGGCCCTTTCTGCAGCGGTGCACGGGGCATCTTGAACCTCATCACCACAGAGAGCTCGGCACTGCGAAGAAGGAACACGAGACATGACGAGAAGTGGGTCGTGTTCTGATTAGAAGGTGCTGTCCCAGCCTCGTGCCGACACTGAAGGAGAGGCCTCGCAGCTCTCGGCACCTGGGCACGGTGCCCCAGGTGAAGAACTGGCGAAGCCCAGCGTGTTACCTGCTCTGCGTCACCGGGACCGGCTCGCTCCGCTGCAGTTTGCCCATGTGGGAGCAGAAAACTCGCTGACTATTTATATTTTSGTTGGTGAGAGAATGGGGCCACACCCACATAGTGCATTAGTGTGAAAAAAAGCATCAACAACATGTTAGTCTCCACCTTTCCTTCTCCCATGCCCCTCCAGCACTTCTGGTCCTGAGCCAGCGTGGTTTAATAGGTTACGCTGCAAGCCCCTGGACTGTAGCACTTTGCAAGGTTGCACATTCACAGGAAGCCCATGTGCGCAGAGCCGTAACGCTTGCAGACTAAGGAGCAATCGCCCTGGCAGGCGGCTGAGAGAGATGTTCATATTGCTGGGAAAGGTGAAAACGTGATTGAAACTGTTCATTTTGGGGGCATCCGGGACTGAACAAGGCCACAGTTCCTGCACAACAAATATCTGTAATTCACTTGTCCTGGTGTTACAGACTTAATTTGCTCTACAAATTTGGTTACTTGGAGAACATGTAAACACTGAGAAATATATAGGGTGATCCATTAAGCATTAACTTAGTAAAGCCTTAAAAAAAAACTCTTTTATTATTAAAAACATAAAGGGAAAGAGATGCTACACTAGTGAATGAAGTCAGCTGACTACTGAGAGAGGCTGTGGTTTGCCATTTTGAGTAATCTGAGTCATTGAGRTATTTTTAGGCACAGTAACAACTTCTACTATAAAGTACTTTTTTATTTGGATCGTCCTCAAATAGTGTTGTCCTCTTGGCCCCCAGATTCCTTCATCCAGAGAGGCAGAGCTTACTGGCCCAGATGCCCTGAGGAGGAAGGAGAGCCATGGAAGACTGATGATTTGGACCACATGGTGGAACAAGATAGACCTCTGCATCAGGTTGGCAGGATATTTCTTTTCTTCAAAGGTCTCCAAACCCCATAAGATTTTCTTTGATATCTTTCCAAGTGAGTTTATCAGCATTGGGGCATATATTTGTTTAGATTGTTCCCGTAGGCTGGGACTTTCAAAGCAGCAGAAGAGTGCCAAATGCCAGTTTCTCACCAAGTTCTCCATAAAGATTTCCTTAGTTTCCTTTGAAAATCCTAGCTGTAGTCCGCATCACTCTGCACATCTCTCTGCTGGAAAGCTGCCCATGATACCCTGCACAATGTGGGCACAAGGGTTACAGGAAAGGGCTTGAACAAACAAGAGTGACAATTTCAAAAAAGGGAGAGAGGAAGAACTGACTATAAACAGAGGAAAGACATGAAAATGTGCAAGTTGGGTATTAGACAGAGAGAGAAATAAAGACCAAATTCCCTATTCCTATTACTTTTATTCCTTTCTTTATTCTTCCTCTCTGCTCACTATTTCTCTGAGGTTTTCCTCTCATAGTGCCTTTGTGTTGTATTTTCTCTTCCATCATTAAGCTCTTTGCTGTCTTTTGAAATTGCTGCCTGGCATTCCATGATACTATAAATAATAATTCTGTAAAAAAAAGGTGGAGGATGGATGGAACAAATCCATTGGGACAGTTGTTTTCTTTTGAGGGCTCATGGTATGAGAATCCTATCATGAAAGGGCAGAACTTCTGTCATCCAGTGATGTCTACTAGTTGCCAGGCACTGCCTAATTTTGCTTTTAATTTTGATTTCAGGGGCTATTCTGTGCAGTTGTACATATCTATATTCCCAATATTGTTGAATGTAGTACTTTGAGCAAGCTCCTTCACCCATCGAAATAATGCCTGACATCATGGGGTCCTTCTCAGATGTGTCTTAAATTGGACCAAAAAGAAGAGGTAAGTGTATGCTGTGTATTGAGAGCATGGGCAGAGCCTGGGCCTAACACAAAACTTTTGGTGGCACTCTGGACTTGAAATGTGTTGGTACAAATACAGGTGACGATGCTATGCCAGGCTTTAGTCGCTCCTTTGTCTGGGCTCCCTGAAGACGAAATGTAGGCTACTTGACTAAAGCAGAGGTTTATAGGGAGGGAGGTTAAAGGATTTGGCAGCTGGCCATCTATTTACTTTTTATAAAATAGTAGATAAGAGCTCACTAATTTTAATGCACTACCTCAGAATAAGGAGGAGATTTTGGTGGAGGCATTCAAGCTAGTTGCCACCAAATCACAAATAAACTGATGGGCAAGCAAAGACTGCCAAAGCCATTTATTCTCCTACTCAAGGGAAAGGGCCTGATGGAGGTTATTTGGAAAAGTCGTAAGAGAAGGAATTTTTATTTTTTGAGGAAGGAAATAGAGAGGCTATTTCTGATATGCTCTGTATAGGTGTGTTAGTGATTTGTGAGTGACAGTAGGGTTCATGGGTGCTCTGACTGAGACTGAGAAGATTCTTTCACCAGCTCTTCGCAGCATATTTGTAGTCTTGAACATGGCCATTAAAAAAAAAAAGAAAAGAAAAAACACTAAGCACCTAGAAACTGCTCAAAGCCACGTTTTAAATCTAATCTGTCCTTAATGCCTCATGGTTTCCAGATAGAATGTAAAGTGTTGATTTTGCCCACAAATCCATGTGGCTTGGTCTTTGCAAGGAAAAGTAATTCTGTTTAGGCTGATCTTATCTCACGGCCTAACTCGCTTCAATGCATCCCTCCTCATCATGTGTGGATCCAAGGAAACCTCATGGCTTAAACATCAGCTGCCTAATGGAGTGAGTCTGGCCATAGGACCTGTTGTAACAGATGTGCCTGGCGCTTGTGAGGAGGTGAAAGGGAAGTCCTCTCCTTGGGCAGGAGGGGATGCGGGCTGCCCTCAGGGCCTGGCTTGTTCACTGAGAGCGAGGAGGACGAAAAGGAGACTGTGCAGGGAGATCTCTGAGAAACGCCCCAATTTCTCACTGCGTAGAGATAACTTGGTGGTCTCTGGGTCTGAGCGGGCAGTTTCTGCCAGCACAGCCATGGCAGGCACTGCCCAGCCAGGCTGGATGGGGCCAGTATCAGACTTGGAACATCCTTGCATCTTAGCACAAGAATTATTTTTTGGAAGGAGTTTTGTTAGGCACTCCTGGCATGTAAGCTTTTGGAAATCAGTTTCCCCTTGACTTATTTTGAGTGTTCAAGCACCAAGGTTCATAGACAGGCATCTTTCTTATGTGTTTTAGAGTTCTAATAAAGTACACAAGTCAGTAGAAGTCTTTTACTGCCCAGTGAAATCAGCATTGCAAATCTGTCTGAGCATGGCACACCAGCATCAGTCTCCAGGTTACGTTTAACATATTTGTGGTTCAATGGTCTTCACTCAGAATATTGGCTAAAATATTTTTATCTTTATTTTTAAATTTATTCTTGAAAGATTGCAGCTTTGGGCAGTCTGTCCCATGGCTTTTAGCAGTGACACTTACAGTTGTGTTTCACATAATTAAACAGCCAACAATACTTAATTAAGAAATAAATAACATCAGTAAAGTAGTAAATAATTATATGCAAGCAAATACCACAGACATTATCCATCAGGCAACAGCTGTGAGCATTAGTTTTGATTAATCAATAATGTTATACAATAGGAGAAGGAATGCTAGCCAGGCCTCTGGGGGAATCACCTACGCTTTTCTAAACAGCAAGCTTTGTTATTTTAAGCAGAACTTTTAGTAGAATCCTTAATTAAATCTAGCAGCCAACAGCTCCTCCATCAGCAATATGCCCCACTTTTCACAGCACAATAAGCAGCAGTTTAGGCGAGCCCAAATCAAGGCCTAGTCCGTGGTTTGGAAAGGTTGGCTGATACATCCCTGTCGGGGAGACTTCTACCAGCCAAAGTGCTCTCAGACTGAGGGCACTTTGGTTAGGTACTGGGTGCGAGTAAACTGAAGTGAAGGAACTGTTTTGCCTTGCTTAGGCTGGCTGTGAAAAGCGAGTGAGTACTTTGCAGTTTTTGCTCCACGAAGGTGGAACACTGTGGGCTAAGTGTACAACTGGTGCCTGCAGAGCCCTTCTCTGAGACTAGGTAGCTGGGCAAGCACAGGTGCAATATTTTCTTTTAAATGTAAATGGAGTTGTAACTTGCTCCCTTCTTGCATACATTTTGTTGCTCCTTTGGAAACAAGTATGGGTGGATTCTTTCTGATGCTGAAGAAGTCTAGTTGATCCTTAAACATACCTTCAGGATGGAGGAACCTTAATGGAGCTTTCAGGAGTAATGCATCTCCTTGACAGCACATTCCACTTTCTGAGAACTTCCAACACAATCCCATTGATTTCTGCAGAGCTGCATACTACTAATACAGCCATGCTGAATTTTGCTTAGAGGTTTCATTCAGTCAGCATGGTTTCCTTTTCCCTTTCCCTTTCCTTTTCCCTTTCCCTTTCCCTTTCCTTTTCCCTTTCCCTTTCCTTTTCCCTTTCCCTTTCCTTTTCCTCTTATCTTCAATGAATGCGGAACTTAAAAAAATGCAAACCTGTCAGAAAGACTGATCACGGCTGTATGTAGATCACAGCATAGAAAACAGATGCAGGATTTTACATCCTTTAACCAATTTAAAGGAGCAGGAACAGGGACAGGAAGGATCTCTGGTATGTTCAGAGTCATGTTTCTAGAATCCATGTTTGCATCTTGATGGCTTTTTCCTTATGAAATTGATCACTGAGTGCCTCTTGGCATCTGAATAAACAACAGCAACATGACTTGCACTGGGAATCAAGTAATGGTAATCCCTCTCTACCACCAGAAGGAAAGAACAGATAGAAAAAGGAGACTGAACCACAGGGTTATTGCTTGGTTTGAAAGAAGTCAACAAACCAGACATGTTAGCCTGCATCTGAAGGATTATTTTAATTCCCTGCAATGTCAAATGCACCTGCAAATTTCTGAAGCATAAAATCCATGGGAGACTTGAAATGGCAATGCTACTAAGTAGTTAGGGCAGGGAAAGCCCTTTACTGTTCTTTGAGAAATGGAAGTAAGCRGGAGCCAATGGTGAAAACACACTCTCCACTTATAAAACAAAGAACTTTACACTGATCAATCTTGGAACCTTTTTCCCAAAACCCTATCAGAGGGAGAAAGGGGAAAAGGAATCTTTTTGCATGATAATTGCTGATAGCACAACAAACCCCAAAGGGTTTCCTTACCCATTTCTAGACATGCAGGCACTAATAAACTTTTGTGATAACATTAATATTCTTGATAGTCTCTGTGGGCTCATTCTCCCAAACTAGAATCTCATTATATTCTGTGAACCTGAAGTGAATTTGTGGACATTTAAAGGTATAGCCTTTAAATTGTGGCAGGGCTGCCAATTCACAGTACTTCTCTGCTGCTCTTGTTCTTTATGGTTTCTTAGGTGTCCTGTGTTGGCAGCTTGGAAACCTAGTCACAAATCAAGGCTTCGTGGTTTTGAGCAAAATACTGCAGGTCGCAAAGAAAGCAACTCCTGGCACCTTTTAGGTTCCCACTGGTTCTAGCTGTGCTGACCAGCCCCGGCACCCCTAGGAATGGGTTGGTTTTGCTACGTGGGGAGTTGATTAGTAAAGCTGATTGCTCTGGAAAAATTAGAAATGCTTGTGTAGATAGGTTAGATGACACATTGCCAAAGCAGCTGTCGTCCTGGTGCAGCAGCGCTGACTGTCGTTCTGGACTCTCTCATTTCAAATAAATAATCTCAAATCTAAGTGAATCCAATTCATTCCCAGATAAGTGATAAGAAGTGAAATCGAATGAAAATCAAATGGAAAGTGCTTATGGTTCCTCTTAAAGATCAGAAAAGACGTGATTATGTGTCTCCTCCTCTACCTGTGAAATCTATTTAGCTTGCTTATCTCAGTATTGTGCAAAACCCATGTTTGTTTAAATGTCCTCCCTGATATCTATAACGTGGTATGTCCAGGGGGACAGGTCACATGAATGCATACGTCTGTATGGGAGCTAAGGAAAGTAACCCATCCTGGAGGTGAATCTTAAACAGTTTCTGCAAAACAAAATCTCAGGTCCTTTTTTATTAAAAAATAATGACTACAGTATAGATAACCTATAAAATCCATGGAATTTCCTTTCCTTACATGAGAGGGAGGCATTATCAATATGCCTGGGACAAGGGGAGGGTTGTTTGAGGTTTTTGGTTTTGTTTGCTGGAAGGTGGGGTGAGAAAGAGGGGAGGTTGTTGCTGTTTGAGGCTTTGTTTCCAATTATTTCATAGATTATCTGCATTGTCTTTAGGGACAGTATTTATAGCAACTGTTAATTCTTCCCCTTACCCAATAGAATAAAGTAAAAAAATACAGAGAAAGGTCTTGGTAAGGGTATGGATATTTCTAAGTAAAACAGCATGTTAGTAACAGATACAGATGTGGCATCAAAACAAAATCTTTTTCTATGTCCAAATATAAAGTATTTTAGATAATATTTTTTATTAAAAGGAATAAAGTTTTTGCAAACTTTCTTTCTCACAGGCAATATTTGGCATCTTGCACAGTGAGTCTGATAGGAGGAGAAGCAGATGACATTCAGGTATTTCTCTTCAGTCCTGTTATTCCTGCTTTTTTTTAAATTGAGATGAAGTCCCGTGTTTCTAAATACAGTAAAGGCAAATCTCAGCAGGCCTTTACCTTGCTCTCAGTCCTAAGCTTGTGTGTCCCAGGGACTCTGCTCGGTGATTTCGCTTGCTTGGTTTTCTCTTCTAGCCAATACACGCACACGTGTGCAGTGTCACACAGCCAGCCCTCTCGCGTAGCCCTCAGCAGTCGGTCCCAGGTCTTGGGGTGGCCGACCTAAACTTAGGTCTTGGAAGTGAGATGTTTTCGAGGGGATGCAATTTTCAGAGCACCTTATTGAAAAGCTAAGTAAAGCACCTCCCAAGATCACTATTCAAATGTGGCATACATTTTTTCCTGTGAATTCTCAGTAGACATCTTTTCAGTGGATTTCCAAAATAAATTAGACTTTGCTTAGAGCTTTTTCTGTATTCAACATTGCCTTTTCAGTATTGCAGCCAAGGCTTCCTTTTAAAGGCATGTACATGAGATTATGCAACTGTAGTATTCAGGATACCCAGAGCAATTAAAATAAATCAGGATAGGTATAATGAAAATGAGCCAAAGCATCTGTTTCTCAAGAGGATTAAAAAAAAAAAAAAAAAAAAAAAAAAAAAAAAGATCTATCGTCCCCAGAGGTTTGGATCCACAGTGGTTAGACCTCTGATTCTTGTGCTTCAGAAACATGTCCCAGGCTCACTTGGGTAAGAACATAAGAACAGGTAGAACTGAAAATGAGGAAAAGAAAGACCTGCTCTTTGGTATGACCAATTTCYGCATTCCCTGGAAGAGCAGCTGGATAAGCTAGTGTGGGTATAGGAGAGCTGGACTTAAGAGATCCATTTGTTTTCACTGCTTTACTTTAACACTCTACTTTAACGTGCTTATATACAGGAACTGGGAGAAAGGGAAGTGATTTCTATGTGCTCTCCAGTATTTTTCAGACAAGTCTGGTATTTAAAAGTCAGCTTAAAATCTCTAGTTATTTCAGCTTGGCTCTAATGATGGTTCAGCAGGTGGTATGGAAATGTCAGTCCATACTCACAGCAGCACTGGGGACCACAGCAGCCCCGTATGGGAAGGCACTTGTTTATTAAGCTGATTGTCCCACAAGGCAAGAAGTTGCCTTCAAATCACAGAATTGAGATAATAACAGCTACTTTGTTTTATTCCACTCTTTCTTTCTTTATTCCACTGCTTTCACTCAGCGCCAGATGCCAAGACTTTTCTAGGTAAAACGTTCGAGAGGATGACTGGAAGGAGGGCGGCAGCAGCCACCGCTTCACTTCCTTGCCGGGCTGCAGCCGTGCTGTGTGAGCCAGCCTCGATTCCTCATCTGCAGGATGGAAAGAGCAGCACTTCCACATTGCTCCAGGCTGCTTTGAGGATGAACACATGAAAGGCTACTAAGGGTGCAGGTCTAGAGTGATGTGATCAACAGCCAGAATGGGCGCCTAAACATTGCATGGGAATTAACAGAAAAACAGAGCCAGATAAAGTGCAATCAGCCACATGCTGTATTATCCAGGAGTAGCATAGAACTTTCTAGACATTTCTATAAACTTCAGCCTTCTTTGATGTAAGTTTGAATGGCCACTGTTGAACCATGTTGGCCAGACGAGGCTGGGGCTGTTACTGAAGATCATGCTCTCTGTTTGTGAGGAAATCTGCTCTCATGGCTTCAAGGGCAGGAATACTTAGAAGGCTCCAGCCTGCATTTAACGCACCACATAATACATTAATTGAAGTCTTTTTTTTTTTTGGTGATGAGAATGCACACCCAGGTAAGTAGGGTCAATGAGAAGTATTGCAAGCTGTTTGTTAAGCTCCTCCTCTGTAGATGCAGTGGATAGATGCCTCCAGTGCATTTGTAAACTAAGAAGGGCCATTACAGTGAGAAGCAAGGCAGCGATTAGAAAGCAAAATGTAGGCATATGTGCCATGAATTGCAGCTGATCCGCTGGGTTATCTGCTTTGGGAACATCATTTACAGAGGTATGTCACAGTTGGCTAAACGGGAAGGAACAATTCTTTAATTCTTTTCTTACATGGGAACAGCTTAGGTTGTCTGAGTCTCACCAAAAAGGACCTTTCTTCTGCTCAATGAAGAGCTCTGCCTGGGGCCTTAGCACTGCATCAAAATGCCTGAAACACTGGTCTCATCCTAGGAGGACGTTAGCACTTTGCAGCCATTGCTGACTGGCCAGGTTACTCCTTGCAGAAGATTCGATCTCCAAGGATGATTTCCTGCCTGGCTTCCATTTGCGAATGATAACCTGAGATGATGATGAAGATAGAACTTGTGTTCCAGATTGCAGCATTTTTGTTTTTCTGTCCCTTGGTCATGGAAGCTGCCTTGGTGGCTGCTTGCAGGATGACAAAATCCTTTTGCCTGCACATAAGGAGGTGCAGAATTCTGGGCTGCTCAGCACATTGTAAAGTAATAATTTCCTGGGAAGAAATTTCACAATGGGCAACAAGTTTCACTGAAACATTCTGTACCAGAGTCTCAAAATGGCTTCATCCTCTTAGCCTGGCAGGTAATTTCTTTTCAAAAGTAGTTTCAGAGAGACCTTTTGAATCATGCTAAGCAATTAGGTTCTGTACAGGCTACTTAAGCGGAGTAGTCTTAGCATTAGCAGTTTTATGTGGGCAGCAAATGGTTTGCTGAGCAGCCCTGAGTATGTACTTGGATAGGTACAGCTTGAAGACAGCTTTGCCAAAGGTTGAAAGTTGCTAAGCTGTGCTAGATGGTTGAATCACAAGTTTTTTGCCTTTGTAACTTGGATAAAGGATGAAGGCCGAGGAACAAATGTGTAAACGTGAGCACTAGAACCTGCTGGAGACAGATCTGCACCCAGTGAGAGAGCTGTATCGTGGGGCATAGAGCACCCACCTTCCTTTCTGCAGCTGCAGCCAAGCAAAGGATGAAATGCAGACTTGGGCAGGGGGACTAGAGGTAGTCGTGGTACTGCAGGAGGTGTTTTCTGTGTCACCGGGTCTCATGCTAGTGCTGCTAAAAAAGAACCCAGTAACTGTGAAGGGCAGACGTCTTCACGCAAGCAAAACTGTCTTGCATGGAAAAGTCCAATCCCAAAGCAAAAGGGCAAATACAAAAGAGAAGCTGAGCCCAAGTGTTGCCAAGAGCAYTCAGGATTGTGGTGATGCATTTGAGGCTAGTGAAGAAGTGAAATCTCCTATTTTTAAATGAGGGCTGGGTGAGAAAAAAGACRATTTTGCGTTTAGCCGGTGCATCCCCTTCCTGGGAAACCCACCTTGCCCCCCCGGCTTGCTCCCTGCCAACACTGTCTGCTGCATCTGAGGTAGCTACCCATGCTCCTCTGTGGCCCGCCAACTTTGTAGAAATTAGTAAATTATTTTTGCTTGGAAAAAAGACATGATGGCTGAGACTTGTTAAAGGGAAAGCTTGTTTACTTAAAATGATTTAAATCTGGCATACTGAGAATAGCAACTTTCTGTGACCACTGACTTGAGTAAATATGGCCTGGCATTTTCAAGATGATGTTTACAACTCCAGCTATCTCCATTACACAGGGATATATATATACATATGTATATTTTCACTAAAAACAGTTGAGGTAAATTATTTGACAGGAGATGGATGTGAAATGGCTGGTGTGCGCATTTCCTGTGCAACATTTAGAAACTGAAGCACATCTAAAGCCTTAGCAGATGATGTTATGATGTTCCTTTCTGAGCTTTATGATTAAAAAAAAGAGGAAAAAAAAAGAGCACAGTTTGGTTGCATTTAGGATCATTTCCACTGGAGAGATTTTATTCAGGATTTTGTGAAAAAGCAGCTATTTTTAGTAGGTAAATTAGCATGTTTTCTGAAGTAATGTAGGCAAGAAACGATAGTCTCGGATAGCTCACTGGACAATGATGGTATTTTAGCTTTGAAATGACGATTCAGTTCTTCCAGCTCAAGAGAAAATGATCTTTGTGGCCTCAGCTATGTCTTTTTTTCACAGTCGTCTACACTAACACTGCACATAACAAGGCATAATTTTACATAAGTAGAAGACTGTACTCTGAGCCAATATACAAGTCATACCTGATTGAATATTGCCATTTCAGAACTGCCATCTAATCACATTTTTCAGGCTGTGTGAACAAAATAATGCTGTTATAATTACACACACTGTTTGTGTGTACGTGTGTGTGTGTATTATATATGTATAATGACATTAGGATGATAATATAGCTCTTTCTATTAGCTCTGTGTTATTAATAAGCTATGACAGAAAGTTATTTGATACCATTTGAAATCCCACTTGTATTTTCATATTGCTCTCAGATGTAATTCAGGGACTTGATTTTTATGAGTTATGGCTCTGATGTCACTTGTATTTTTGCCTGTAATAGGTCTCATGGGAGCTAAATTCATCAGACTCAATTAACAGCCTCTGAAAAGTGTATCTTGGGTAGCAGCTGATGAGACAGGAGCAGCGTGGACCTGCTCTCGCTGACCCTCAGCCTCCGCCACCACAAGAAGCTCGCTCTTCACCAGCAGGTAGCAACTCCTGAGCTCCCCATTGCCAGAGAGGCTGGGCGAGCCCGTGTCCGGCCGGTTGGAGCGGTGGCCGCTCAGCTCCCAGCGCTGTGGAGCGGCAGCAGCCCTTGTGGGGCTCGCACCCCATCACGACCATCCACATCTCGGTGTTCATGTGATTTCTCATGACATTCTTCTCTTCTCCTCAGACACCCAGCTCTTGGAGACCTCTGACTCCAGGGTCATTATCTTTTGTTTCAAGTGAGCTCCTAGCAGTCCTAGGGGGAGCTTAGACAGGCGATGCTGGGATGATAAAAAATACAAGGTAAATAAAAATAACTCCAAATGCATCTGTTTATTACAGATTGTGATTTTAAAACTGGTCTCACGTGGGGAGCTCTGCTTACGTTGTTGATTGGGTCT